ATAATGATGATGATCCATTGGTAGGATAATAATGATGATCCATTGGTAGCATAATGATAATGAAGATCCGTCGGTATGATGATGTTGATCCATTGATAGGATGATGTTGATGATCCATTGGTAGGATAACGTTGATGATCCATTGGTAGAATAATGTTAATGAAGATCCGTCGGTAGGATACATCCATCGATAGGAAGAATAATAATTTATTAAAATAATTCATTGATGATGATCCATCAATAAGATAGTGATAATGGTGATCCATTGGTAGGATAATGTCGATGATCCATTGGTAGGATAAAGATGATCCATTGGTAGGATAATGATAATGAAGATCCTTCGGTAGGATGATGTTAATGAAAATGAAGATGCATTGGTAGGATGAGGATATTCCATTGATAGATTGATGATAATGTCCCTATGGGTGATGATATTATCTCATTTGATAATATTCTATGAATGTCCATTCGGGTGGTAAAGACGATGTCCCTTATGGTAGTTCACATTACCGCGTCTGATATCAACGAGATTCGTGAATAGTCTTCAAACGTTCTTGATGCTGAAAAGTGTAATCTCGTGTCATCAAAGATGCTTGTATATGTTGAGAGTGATGCTTTCACTTGTTCCCATTTTGAACATTTTGTTTTCGTTATGACTTATGCTTTGCTGGGAATTTAAACGAGGTGTTGTTGCTCGTACTCTAAACTCTTTCTTTTTCTTCTGAAAAACTTAAATAACTTTCCTGCATCCACAAAAAAGTTGTCAATTTTGGGGAGCTCCTCGCCATTTTGACTTCTCCATATTCTTTGAATGGAGAAATATGATGAACTTGAGGCAATCTCATAGACCTGCATACACAGAAAAATTGTTAGTTTTTAAAACAAACTGATCTGTGTTGACTTCTTCAATCGCTTGCTCCTTGTCTTGCTATCTTCAATTGATCGCTCTGATCTCTTGCTTCTCGGTAGACAAGACAAAACTTTTTATGCAAAAATATTTGAAACATTTAGATAAGATCTTTAAGAAAAAGGTTTTCAAACAACTGTAATTGAAAAGGTCATTGCCAAGTGTCATGTCACGTCAAGCTTAAACGAACGTCCTTGGTTCGAAACTTTGGTGTGTTCGATAGCTAGTTTTGGAGAATTCAAAAATCCTTAAAGCTTGAAAATTTTCTAACATTGTTCTCCCGAAATCTACTATAATCGGGAAGTTTTGTAGTTGACTCTGAAATTTAAAGCTGTCGGAGATTGCTGTAGTTGACTATGAACTTTAACTATGCCAGAGATCATTTGAAGTTAATTTAAACTTCAAATCATGCTCGAAATATTCAAAATTGACTACAAACTTCTAGTGGTGCTTGAAGAAATTTTGAGGGCATCCTAAAACTTTTAGTCCCAGTTAGATGTATTAGAGTATCTCGAACTGTTGATATATGACTTGTAGAATTTTTGAGACCCTCTCAAAAATTCTGTCCCAGTTAGATGTCTTAGAGTATCTCGACTGTTGATGTATGACTTGTAAAATTTTTGAGACCCTCTCAAAAATTCTGTCCCAGTTGCAACTCTCAATGTATCTTCAGTCTCGACTTATTGGAGAGATCCTTTTCTCGAGAATTTTTTAGTCCCTCTCAAAAATTATGTCCCAGTTTCTATTGTAAAGGAAAATAGAGCTCTTACGGGAGATATGATCGAGCCGTTGTGGCTCCTACGTATCCCGTTGAGGTAGGAATCAGGTCAAACGTAGTTCCCCTCTCGAGGATGAACAAAAATAGGAAATTAAATGAGGAAATGACTGAGGCCGACATAGTCCGCCTACGTATCTCATTCTTGAGAATTCAGGTCGAACGTAGT